TTTGAGACGGAGTTTCGCTCTTGTTACCCAGGCTGGAGTGCAATGGCGCGATCTCGGCTCACCGCAACCTCCGCCTCCTCGGGTCAGGCAATTCTCCTGCCTCAGCCTCCCGAATAGCTGGGACCACAGGCGTGCGCCACCATGCCCAGGTAATTTTTGTATTTTTTAGTAGAGACGAGGTTTCACCATGTTGACCAGAATGGTCTCAATCTCTTGACCTCGTGATCCACCCGCCTCGGCCTCCCAAAATGCTAGGATTATAGGTGTGAGCCACCGCGCCCGGCCGAGACAGGCTTTGACCATGTTGGCCAGGCTGGTCTCGAACTCCTGACCTCAGGTGATCCGCCCGCCTTGGCCTCCCAAAGTGCTGGGATTACAGGCGTGAGCCACCGCGCCCGGCCTTCATCTACTTTTTTGGGGTAACATCTCGCTCTGACACTCGGACTGGAGTGCAGTGGAGTGATGACAGCTCACTGCAGCCTCAACCTCCCAGGCTCAAGTGATCCTCCCATCTCAGCCTCCCTAGTAGCTGGGAGCCAATGCTCAGCTAATTTAAACACATTTTTATAGAAAATAGGGGTCTCATCAAGTCGCCTAGGCTGCTCTTGGATTCCTGGCCTCCAGTGACCTTCCCACCTCTGCCTACCAAAGTGCTGGGGTGACAGGTATAAGCCACCACCCCAGGCCTACCAAATCTGACATATGTCATTTTTTTTTTTTTTTTTTAAAAACGGGGTTTCACCACGTTGGTCAGGCTGGTCTTGAACCCCCGACCTTAGGCGATCCACCCGCCTTGGCCTCCAAAGTGCTTGGATTACAGGTGTGAGCCACCACGCCAGGCCTTTTTTTTTTTTTTTTTTTTTTTTTTTTTTTTTTTTAAGCAGAGTCTGGGTTTCACCACGTTGGCCAGTTGGTCTTGAACTGCTGACCTCAGGCGATTCTCCTGCCTCGGCCTCCCAAAGTGCTGGGATTACAGGCCTGAGGCACTGACCCTGGCCTCATGTTTTTATTTAAACAAGGAAAACAACAGCACAAGCCATCTGACCACTACCAACCCCAAATGTAAATATAGTTTCCCAGTAAAAAGAAGCCTACATCAACATCACCCAGAACAAGTGTAACTGGAATCACACATATTAATAGAATAGTCACGTACATGGAATGTCTAGTAGCCATGTTCAAAGTATAAAGAAACTGGCCAGGTACACTGGCTCACACCTGGAATCCCAGCACTTTGGGAGGCCGAGGGGGACGGATCACCTGAGGTCAGGAGTTCGAGGCCAGCCTGGACAACATGGTGAAACTCCGTCTCTACTAAAAATACAAAAATTAGCCAGGCATGGTGGCGCGTGCCTCTCTAATCCCATCTACTTGGGAGGCTGGGGCAGGAGAATCGCTTGAACCTGGGAGGCGGAGGTTGAGGTGAACCAAGATTGTGCCACTGCCCTCCAGCCTGTGATCCATCAACACAAAAGACAGAAAAAACACAAGCAAGCCGAGTGATCCTATCTCTAAGTTTTCTCAACATACAGGCTGCCCGTCTGTTTCCTTAGTAGGATGGTGGAGGGAGGGAGCTGGAGGGGGGCCCTCCATTGGAGCCCGGGGAGGGGGTACTCCAGGCTGCTGCCCCTGGGGCAGCCCATGATGGATTTCCCAGCGGAGCCCGCCCAGCTGCGGCAAAGCCCAGGGGAGCCCTCTCCAATTCACCCCGCCTCGTTAATGTGCAATTTACCGGCACTTTAATGTGCTCAGCATGAGAAGTGTGGCCCCCTTCTGCCTGCTGGCTGGCCCTCCCGGGGGAGGGTGGCAGGCGGGCTCCGGGAGGAGGGGGACTTTTAAAAGCACAGCAAGGAGTCTGCGAAGGCCGGGAACTGGGAAGCAGGGGGCGGGAAGAGCAGGCTGCTGGGGACCGCAGGCCAGGCTGGGCCACGCCGTCCTGGGGCCTCGTCCGGTGGGGGCTGGGCAGGGACCCTCCTGGGTCCAGATGCGGCTCAAGTGGCTCACTGGGGCCCTCACCACTGTGTGTCCTGGTGCTTCGCAGCTGTGGTCAGGTTCCTCCCAAAAACACGTCCCCAATTATTCAATCACCTCTCACCGCTAAGCAGCCAGCATGCCACACCTGGACTGTCCTAACCGGGTCCCTGGCTTCTGTCCTCATCCCTGTCCTCTCCGCAGCAGCCGGGCCTGCCCTCTGTCTGCAGCCCTCCATGGCTCCCACCTCCTCTCCTCGGGGTTAGAGCCCAAGTTATCCTTCCCTGAAGCCCACAAGACCCCCAGGGGCCTCGCCTGCGCTGCCCCCCCAACGCCGCTCCAGCCACACAGGCCTCCTCTCCGTGCCTTCAGCACCAACACGACGGGCACCAGGCTGCCCCAGGGCCTTGGCACAGGCTGCGGCCTCTGCCTCAAATACCCCCCCATCCCAGACAGCCACACTTCCTCTCCAGTGCCTTTCAAGCATTCGCTCAGATGTCACCTTCTAGGGGCCCATCCCGGCCTCACTGGGCCCCTTGGGGCAGCTCCCCCGCCCCACGACCGTCCTCCAGTCCCCCCCCCGACTCCATCTACCAGGCTCCCCTCGCCCCACGGGTGGGAAGCTCTGGGTTCTTTGCTGTATTTCTGGCCTCCACAATAGTATTCGGCAAGCAGGTGGCGGATAAATATCTGTGGAATGAGTAACCATGTTTTGGCTGCTTCCTGACCCCCCTCACCCTGTTCCCTGCGCCGCCCCCCGCCCCCCAGGCCCTGGGCCCCTGCCAGTTACATCTGGCTCAGGCAGAAAATCCTGCCAGCGCCCGGGAGAAAAGGCCAGGTGCAGGAGGACGAGCAGGCCTGGAAGGCACATTTCAGCCTGGGCCAGGCGCCCTGGGCTGGCAGGTGGGAGCTGGGTGCCCCCTCCCCGTGCAGACCTTCCCCCCACCCCGTGTGATGTGTCTCCGCTTCAACAGTCAGACACGCAGAGCCGCACAGCCGGCTGCCTGCCCCAGCACGGGCCCTGTCCAAAGCACCTGGCCTGCAGAGGGTCCTCCAGGCGGTGCAGAGGCCCAGGGAGCGGGCCGAGCAGGACCCCCCTCTCCTGGAAGGGGCTCAGAGACAGGCTGGGGCTGCACCCCCAGGGCAGGGGCCCTCCACTAGTATCACGGTGGATACCAAGTCAAGGCCCGGCTCCCCCCTGCCCGCAGCCCTCCATGGCTCCCACGGCTCTCGGGGTCGAAGCCCAAGTCCTTCCCACGGCCCACGAGGCTCTGCATGACCTGCTCCTCGTCCCCCTCCTTGTCCTCACTGTGCCCTCCTTTTATCCCCCCAGAGTCTGGCTCTGTCCCCCAGGCTACGGTGCAGCCTCCACCTCTGGGGTTCAAGCGATTCTCCTGCCTCAGCCTCCCACGTAGCTGGGAGTACAGGCGCCCTCTACCACGCCCGGCTCATTTTTGTACTTAGTAGAGACGGGGTCTCACCACGTTGGCCAGGATGGTCTCCAGCTCCTGACCTCAAGTGATCCACCCACCTCAGCCTCCCAAACTGCTGGGACTCCCGTTGTGAGCCACCACGCCCGACAGCCCCCCTCCATCCATTCTTGTGCCTTTCATGGAAGGAGAGCTGCGCCCCTGAGCTCCTGGTCACCCACCTGCTTGTGATGTTCAGCCACATCCTGCTGGATCTTGTGCAGCTGGAAAGACAACAGGGATCCCGTCACAAGGTGGTTCGGGTGTGAATGCTGTGTGACCCGGGGCAAGTTGCTGTACCTCTCTGGTCCCTACTCCACCCCCACCCCCACCCCCACCTTTAGAAATCTTTGTTTTCACCTTGTTTTCTGTTTTACTTTCACACTACATTGATGTATGGTCCCTTGTTTCTTCAGGGTCTCGCTCTATTGCCCAGGCTGTAGTGCACTGGTGCAATCTAGGCTCACTGCAGCCTCCGCCTCCCAGGCTCAAGCGATTCTCCTGCCTCAGCCTCCTGAGTAGCTGGGATTACAGGTGTGCACCACCACGCCCTGCTAATTTTGTATTTTTAGTAGAGACCAGGTTTCTCCATGTTGGTCAGGCTGGTCTCGAACTCCTGACCTCAGGTGATCCACCCCACCTCGGCCTCCCCAAGTGCTGGGATCACAGGCGTGAGCCACCGCGCCTGGAGGAGAGCAGTGTTTCTAGGGCTCTCAGGAGGCAGGACCAGAGCCACCGTCTCAGCGCATCCCAGTTCCGCCCTCCCTGGCTGGGGCCGCCTGGGTCTGGCTCACCGACTTGTAAATGCTCTCCAACTCCGCAGCAAAACAAGGAGAAAACCTAAAGGGTAAGGAGGAGAGGCTGGGAGACCTGTGGCTACAGGACCCCTTCCCCAGAGTGAGCCACGCCCTGAACCCTGCGGAGGGTCTTCATGAAGCTGTAAGCCGGTGGCTTGTGGGGCCACATTTAAGGCAGTGTCCAGAAGTTCAGTAAGACTTTAATGCAGCAGATTCTTCTGTGTTTTTTTTTTTTTGAGATAGAGTCTCACTGTGCCACCCAGGCTGGAGTGCAGTGGTACGATCTCGGCTCACTGCAACCTCCGCCTCCCGGGTTCAAGCGATTCTCCTCCCTCAGCCTCCCAGGTAGCTGGGATTACAGGTGCCCGCCACCATGCCTGGCTAATTTTTGTATTTTTAGTAGAGACGGGGTTTCACCGTGGTGGCCAGACTGGTCTCAAACTCCTGACCCCAGGCAATCCACCCTCCTTGGCCTCCCCAAGTGTAGGGATCACAGGTGTGAGCCATCAAGGCCGGCCACTTTTTTTTTTTTTTTTTTTTTTTTGAGATGGAGTGTCACTCTGTTGCCCAGGCTGGAATGCAGTAGCACGATCTCTGCAACCTCCGCCTCCTGAGTTCAAGCAGTTCTCTGCCTCAGCCTCCAGAGTAGCTGGGATTACAGACGCCTGGCACCACGCCCAGCTAATTTTTGTATTTTTAGTAGAGACAGGGTTTTACCATCTTGGCCAGGCTGATCTTGAACTCCTGACCTCGTGATCTACCCACCTCAGCCTCCTAAAGTGCTGGGATTACAGGTGTAAGCCACCTCGCCTGGCCACTTTCATTTTTTTTTTTTTTTTTCAAAGACTCTCACCCTGTTGGCCAGGCTAAGGTGCAGTGGTAAAATCACGGCTCACTACAGCCTCCAATTCCTGGGCTCAGATGATCCTCCTGCCTCAGTCTCCCAAGTAACTGGGACTACAGGTGTACACCACCACACTCAGCTAATTTTATTTTATTATTATTATTTTTTTACATGAAGTGGCATCTCGTTAGGTTTGCCAAGGCTGGTAGCGGACTCCTGAACTCAAGTGATCCTCCTGCCTCTGCCTTCCAAAGTGCTGGGATGACGGGTGTGAGCCACTGTACCCAGCCCATGCAGTATTTTTCAAAAATAAAACTGAAAGCCAGCCGGGCGTGGTGGCTCACGCCTGAAATCCTAGCACTTTGGGAGGCCGAGGTGTGTGGATCACCTGAGGTCAGGAGTTCAAGACCAGCCTGGCCATCATGGTGAAACCCCATCTTT